GGGGGAGGGAATACTTTCCTCTCCGATGTGACAGCACAATTACCGAGTCCACCGTTGGCGCGAGTAGTAGAATATTAATCCCCAGATCCTTGCCTACTCGCATGTGTAACCTGGTGGGAATTTGTGAGGGGGTTACAATAGCACTCTGAGCTCGAATTCCTCACGCTTGCTTTTCCTTACAATTTCGGTGTAGTTTTGCCGTGTTACCACGAGGCGCAATGGAGAACCAACTGTGGGTTACGTCCAATAACTGTATCACTGAAGAGCTCTCCGCAATACTCTCGCAAAGGCCCTCACAACGTCTTCACTAAGCCTCCCCAATACAGTAGCCTTTGAGTGTTATGGCTGTGTGGAACTTGAGTTGAATGAAAACATTCGGCACCGATGAATACCCAAGCAACACCACCGGAATTGCCACTCATAAGAGTAATTATAATCACAGATTGAGCTAGGGTAGGTTCTACCAAATACACTAAAATGGCTTGCCCCCGGTATGTCCTAGCTTCTGAACTACCAAATACTCATACTTCCCCCGTCCCCAAAATCGTTTCTATGCCACCACAGCACGAGTACCTTAATACTCTGTCCCTAGGCACGACAGTTAGGCTGCTCAACTTCCGGTACCTGAAAGACCCTGTTAACTTAACAGGATGGCAAATAAAACTTTCACCCTATCTGAGCCTACATTGCAGTTATGATAAATCGCGACTCCAACACACTTAGCCTGCCTCACCGATTGATAAGTAGATTTCCCTGTCTCCCCTAATACAGGTGCGGTCAAATGATTTCGCCTCAAAAAACCCGCAAAATATCAAGCTTTTTTTTTTTGCAAAAAAAAAGTCGCCTAGAAACAACACAGGTCATCCATCGTAAAGGGTATACTGAACGCCGGAAAACTGCATATCTCATCAGTCCACGGGATGGAGATTCCGGGCGCGCAATATCGTCTTATCTGCTATTATCCGGCTCCCGGCCACAGCTGTGCGTTATTTAAGGTTAAATCGTAACTTGTGTTCAAAATCGACCCTTTCAATAGTCAAATTTAACGGTTACGATATCAATCCACAAATGAATACACCCTGAGGTGGTGAAGTGATGGAGGGAAGCTCTCCACGTAGCTACTCAAATTTTACTCTTATTTATTTTCACGGGCCGCGTTTTTTGATTGAATGCATGTTGTGTAGAGGAATATGCCTTCGTATCTTTTGCTACTCCTAATTGAACAAGGTCAGTTCTATTGAAAAAAAAATCGAACAAGCTGGCCCCGAGCACCGTGCAGCGAAGTTTGTAGTAATCGCTTATCCACAGGGATCGATCGGCACATCGATCAACAGGGTTTACTCCAGTAATATGGTGATTTAGAGACATGCGACAAGCTCTGCTGCAGATTATTGGACAATTAAAACCCACCTCCTCTGCTACCTAGTTAGCTCTGGGATAGTGAGCGCTTTTAAATACATTTCTTCCCATCCAATACTTACTCAGTCCAAAAAAAAAAAGCTCATAAATATAAAGCAGAGTAAACTTTGAGTAGTTCTATTGATAATTGCTCTCAATCCACACCTTATTTTAGGGTGTGTTCATTTTTAACCTCGTTTTGTGATTGGTTGTTGAAAGACCGATTTCAGACACTGGGCACCTACTCACCATAAAGGAGCGTCCAGTCTTGGAGGAAACCCGGATAATAAGAGATAATATATGGGTAGATTACAAATACCGTAAACAGCATGCACCTTTCTATACATTTATATTACTACCATCCCACGCCCTTCTTTCCCAGTGCCCATACTGCACAATCACCACTATAACTCTTCTACATTTTTCCAACTAAACCTTCGACTGCCATCCAAATCTTCCTCTACAGCTTTTCACTCTCTCGGTAACATGTTTTCTAGTCTCACGTTGAGATACCCCCCAAATTACAATGAGTTAGGCCAACCTACCTCTCCAAGCTATTCCCATTGAGCTCCATAATTAACATTTGCTCAACAGCTTTCTGTTTGATGGAACCGTCACACTGTGCATTGGGCGAGATAAAAAGAGAATGGAAATGCATAAAAAGCTCCTCGCAAGCACATCCCCAGAGATCTACGAGTACGCCAGCAACGACATGAAAGAGGGTATCGAGGGCATAATACATTTACCGTCTGAGGAGGAAGAGGCGGTCACACTTTTTACAACGTGGGCATACACTGGAGACTACGACGGTGGGGGCGGCCCTTTTTTCAGAACGGGGAGGATGGCGTGGCTGAGCCTTCACAAACACCTCCAGCTTCGCATATTCTCAGATAAATTCAACATACCTACCCTAAGACGGCTGGCGGAATCGAAATTTTACTCCGAGATCAATAGCATCAAGCCCAAGAGCGAGGAGGATGGCACTGGCCTTATCAAAGTGATAGGTTATGCATATAATAACCTTCACAGCTCAGATCCGATTCCAAAATTTCTGACGCAATATGCTTCTTGGAAATTTGGGTTGCTACGGGAGACACCCGGATTCGAGGAATTAATTCTGACCGAGCCAGAGTTTCTGTTGGAATTGCTTTCCACCTTGAAAGGATCCACCACTAAGCCCACCGCCCCGGAAACCTAATCGTACCCGAAAAGCGACAGACCGAGCAGCCCACATAGCACGAACCAGCCCTAGCACGAACCAGCCCAGAAAGCATTAGTTCACCTTCCCAGCCCCGCGGCGGTCATAATATTACCTTCACACCTCTAGCAAATTTGGAAACGCGACAGACCAGTTCTTGCTTGATGGCAAAGGTCCGAGTTGCGGCTATAGTTCTTATTTTCCGTCTCCCTGATGCAATGCATGCATTTGATACACCCTTTGTTGTCATGACCTTCCGTAGCTTGAACGAGAACAAGAAATCTATGAGGCTTGATATCCCATGGAGCTTTGGAGACCAGAATACAGTGCTTGTATATCTTCCTTCTTGAGGCACCCATTCGCCCATAGTTCGCATAAGCTCAAGTGCCAACCTCGTCTCCACCAGCTAAATATCTCCAGCCAGCTACATGCCAACAAACCAGCTCACATCTCATACTTTGTCGCCATACATTCCCGCTCGCTCTAAGCCTCCAAAATAAAATCCAGAACCCATGCCGTACAGTGCCTCCCCAGGGTATGCCCCCAAACCTAAAGCCTTGCACGACATAAAGCACCCCCCAGTAGAAAACAGTAAAGGGGTGTTTGGCACACCAAGAAGTTCCATAGCCACCCACATTCGATCATTAATTTTCACCCAGGAAATACCGTGCTTGCCCACTGACTCCTCTTATTTCCCCAAGTTACTGCAAGAGAAATAAACAAATGGTTGGCAGGGACCTTGGATAGTAGAAAATGGTTGAGAGTGTGGCAAATCCACAGGGTCTAATCGCCCCATACTACGGATCGCAGAGTGGCATCATCTTCATGTCCGAACATGTGTCGAATACACACAGATTATTACGCACTAGAGCTATAGACCTGTGTAGGCATACTCGGATGCTTACGTACTCAGGTCGTCTTTTTTTTCTTCCTTTTCTCTTACATCAGGCTTCGGAATTGCTCTTCAAGTAAACAAACACAAACCACAGCAATCCTCTTGCTCACCGGCTGGCCCGGCTCCCATTCCGTTGTATATCTTGTTTTCACATCTCTTGACTCCACTCCCTATATATCAATTCTATTCTTTCCGCCTTTCCATCACTTCATGTCTCCCTCCGTAAAGCCAAAACATCTATCATTGACCTCCCGATCGTTTGTTCGAGACTTCTAAGATTAGGAGCTTTAAGTTTGCGAGTGACAATGCATGAACTACCAGCCAGCCAAAACCCCGTGGAATAAAAATTCCTCTCTCGATTTTGATAATGCAGAAATCAGTATGAAAGCACAAACCTGTGACCCCTTCCCCCTAGTGTTTCCTCCCCGTACGGCCTTCTCCAAACTTTTACACCCCACAAACTCAAAACAGTCGGTATTTCAAGCAGCATAGAATCACACTCTATGGAGAACCGTCAAGCACGCCGCGGGGGCACCGGAAGTACTCAACAAAAACATCACTGCTTTTTCAGGTTCACCTAGTCTGATCCAGCTAAAACCCTCCGATGGCCAGGCTGCGCCTTTCTAAGTCATCGGGGGTAACAGAGTCCACATTAAATTATACCTACCAAATCGCCATGACCTGCGGTACGATAGTAAACGAAGTGGGCTGTAATGCATCTGCCCCATACAAGCCGGCCCTCTCGGTAGGCACTTCAGGCTGGGATCGACAAACAACTCCCGATGCTTTACCATTATACATACACTACAAGAGTAAGAGTCAAATATCCCATAAGTTTCCTTGAAGATCTCTATGCATCAGTAGCCTCTTCCCCCCCCACTGTACCCAAGGTATCGATACGGGATGGCTAAGAAATTGTGATCCGGAAACCGCGGTTATTGTGGGTTTTGCCATCCCCCATTCCAAGGTCCCCATAAGTTAAAGTATATTCCCTACATATACCAGTAACCACACTTTGGAAAACTGGTATGCTACAAGTACCACGTCATGTTCAGTGTATTGCCAGTTATTGTCATCACTGTTCCCCGCCCCTTTTTAGCCTGTGCGATCGGTAAATGCCTGCCCCTTGTACCACCTTTTTATGCCTGTACCTTGTACTCGTACAGGTACAAGTACAGCACGGTACGGTACGTTATTTAGGGGCTGTTTGGCGCGACGGCAAACCATGATTTTGAAACAATAATTGAAAAACTGACTAATAGGAGGAGGAGGACCTAAAACCAGCATATCCAGGCCATATCTTTGGTCAGTTTGCCAACCATGGTTTGCCGTTGTGCCAAACAGCCCCTTAGTTCTAGCTGCGTTTCCTTCTCTGCGGAGGTGATCCATACTCGTGCCAAGGTCGTGGCGTGGACGTCGCAACCTTGGCACGAGTAGATCTTACCTCCGCGTCCAACAACAAACACGCTTCTGTTTTTTCCCATCGGCGCCATCGCTCTTTCTCCTCTTAGTGCTCTTACGACGCTGACTCTGCGGTCACCTCCTAGCGGTGTGTCTTCCTATCGGTTTTCCCTGCGCGCGATAGTCTTCCCTTCCAAGTGTTGCCATCATATACTGCCATCAACCCACACCCTTCTTGCCTGGTGCTCATATTGCACATTCACCAAACATTCGACTGCCACCAAATCCTCCCTTACAGCTTTCCACCCTCTCGCCAACATGTTTGGTAATCCCACGTTCAGACACTCCCCAGAGTACAAAGAGTTAGGCCAACACTACCTACCTCTCCAAGCTATGAAGTTTGAGCCCCATAATTAACCTTTGCTCAATAGCTTCCTGTTTGACGGAACCATCACACTGTGCATTGGGCGAGACAAAAAGAGAATGGAAATTCATAAAAAACTCCTCACAAGCATATCCCCCGAGCTCGACAAGCACGTCAACAACGACATGAAAGAGGGCATCGAGGGTGTAATACATTTACCGGATGAGGGGGAAGAGGCTATCGCTCTTTTTACCAAATGGGCATACACTGGAGACTATACCGCCTGGGACAGTGCGCTGTTCGGTATAGCACAGCATCAATGGCCGAGCCTTCATAAGCACCTTCAGCTCTGCGCATTCTCAGATAAATTCAACATACCCGTCTTAAAACAGTTGGCGGAATTGAAATTTTACACCCAGATAATTACTCTCGAGCCCAAGAGCAAGGAAGATGGCGCAGGCCTTATCCTAGCGATAAGTTATGCACATAATAACCTTCGCAGCTCGGATCCGGTTCTGAAATTCCTGACGCAATATGCTTCATGGAAGTTTGAGTTGCTACGGGAGACACCCGGATTCAGGGAATTGATTATGGCACAGCCAGAGTTTCTCACGGAATTGCTTGCCACCTTGAAAGGATCGAGCACTAAGCCCATCGCCCCGGAACCCCAAAAGCGCCCGAAGAAGAAAAACAATTCGAACATTTTCGGTACGGGCCAGCCGCCGAAGCCTCAGCCCCCCCCCCCTCTCTTCGGCTCGTGGCCGTCACAATTCTAATATTATGACGTTCGCGCCCCGAATAAATTTGAAATGCAACAGACTAGTTCTCCCTTGGTGGCGAAGGTCCGAATTGTGGCTATAAGTTCTTGTTTTTCGTCTCCTTGATGCAATGTATACATTTAATACTCCCTTCTTCCCATGACCTTCCATAACCTGAAAAACAAAAAAAACTATCAGGCTCGATATCCTATAGAGCTTTAGAGACTAGACTATGATACAGTACTTGTATATCTTTCTTCTTGAGGCACCCCTTCGCCCTAGTCCACACAAGCTCAAGGTCCAACCTTGTCTCCACAAATTAAATATCTCCAGCCAGCGACATGCCAACAAACCAGCTCATATCTTATACTCTGCGCCATACATCCCCGCTCGCTCTAAACCTCCAAAATAAAAATCCAGAAACCATGCTATAAATACTAGGCCCCAAAACTTAAGAGGCTTTGCACTACATAAAATGCCCTTAGCAGAAAACTGTAAAGGGGTATTTGGCGCGCCGGGAAGTTTCATAGCCACCCAGATTTGGTCATTGATTTTCACCCAGGAAATCCCGTGATTACCCACTCGCTCCTCCTATTTCCCCAAGTTCCCGCAAGCCAAATAAACAAATAGCTGGCAGGAACCTCCGATAATAGAAAGTGTTTGAGAGAGCGGCAAATCTACAGAGCTTGATCACCCCATACTACGGATGGCGGGATGGAATCATCAGGTCTCACTATGCGTTTAATATGCCCAGATGATTACGCACTAGAGCTATGGACCAGTGTAGGCATACATGGATGTTTACATACTCAGGCTGTCTGGTGTTGTAGGATTCTCCTTTGGATTTGTCCTTCTCTCTTACATCAAGCTTCGGAATTACTCTTCAAGCAAACAAGCAGAAACCACAGCAATCCTCTCGCTCACCCGCTCACTTGACTCCCCATTCCTTTGACTATCTTGCTTTCATATCTCTTGAATCCACTCCTTATATATTACTTCTACTCTATCTACCTTTCCATCACCCCCTCGTGTCTCCCTCCATAAAGCCAAAACATCTATCATAAACCCCCCGGCCGTTTCTTCGAGAATTCCAACAATACGAGCTTTAAGTTTGCGCGTGACAATACATGAACCGCCAGCCAACCAAAACCCCGTGGAATAAAAATTCCTCTCCTGATCCTAACCAAGCAGAAATCAGTCAGAAAGTACACACCGGTGACCTCCCTAGTGTTCCTTCACCGCCCAGTACGGCCTTTTCCACACTTTTGCTCCCCATAGACCCAGAACGGTCAATATTCGAGGCAGCGTAGAATTACGTCGTATGGCGAAACGTCAGATATGCCGAGGGTGACAGAAAGCACACAAAAAAAACATCGCTTCTTTTCCAGCTTCATCTAGTTTGATCCAGTTGAACCCCTCCGAGGGCTCGGCTGCGCACCCCTAAGTCATCGGGAGTAACAGAGTTGACATTCCGCGATACCCACCAAAATCGCCATCTCCAGCAATATGATAGTAAACGAAGCGGACTGTAGTGTATCTTGCCCATACCCGGTGGCTCTCTTGGCAGGCACTCCACACTGGAATCCACAAACCTCGATGCCTTACTATTATACCTACACTACAAGAGTGAAGGTCAAATATATAATAACTTTCCTCGAAGATCTCCATGCAGGAGTAGCATTTTCCTCCCCACCATCTCCAAAGTATCGATACGGGATGGCAAAGAAATTGTGATCCAAAAACTGCAGTTATTGTGGGGTTTGCCATCCCCTATACCAAGTCCCCCACCTTGTATCGTAATTTAGTTAGTCGCTTGGTATCATTAGGCAAGCTGTTAGGATTAGTTAGGATTAGTCGCTTGACGTTAGGTCCTTCACGACAAGCTCCTTTCCCCGTAGTGGTCCCTTTGTACGAGTACTCGAGTACAAACACACCCCTGCTCAATACAATAAATGCCTTACTAAATTTACACTTGCCCCTTTCGCCTCTCGGCACTCGACTAAACACGATATTGAGTGATAACCTACGACTCCACACCGCAGTCAGAGCAGTTATCCACCAATACACTTGCTCTACGATTCAGCTGTAAAGGACATCACAACCTCTTTACTATAACCCCTCCGATTCAGCGGGCTTCCCGCGCGGTGGCTGTGATGGGCTAAATGAAAACTCTTAGCATCGCCCAATTCCAAGATAACACCGCCAGAACTACCACCTATACCTATAATTTCATCATTCTTTGGTAGATTCCACCAAATATAGTACGATAAGAAACTTTTGAAAGAAAAAACAATTCTTTTGTTTCTAAAATCGTTCTCACATTACTGTTGCCATAATGCCGGTGGTTTAATTTTTTCTGTTTCAGACGTGACAGTCGGGTCGCTCAAGTATCTAAAAGATCTTGTTGCTGGGTGGATGGCGGGCAAAAAATTCCACACGACCTAGTCCGACTTTCGCGACTTAACTGCGGCCCCAACACACTTACCCCATGAACCGATTCGACATGCAGATTCCCGACTTCCTTACCCGGGACTCGTGGTTTTGCCTCATAGGGACCACGAAATTCCAAGCGATTTTTTTGCAGAAAAGTCGCCTGGTCACAGCAGAGAGTAATCATATACCAAAGGCCGGAAACCTGCATACCCCTTCATTCCACGGGATAGGATTTCGGACATGCAATATCCAGAATGCACCATTACACACATCTAAACTGAGATTCAATCCCACATCTGCGCCTCGGGTACATCTGTAAAAGTCCGAATTAGGCTTATGAATTCTCATTTTTTTCGTCTCTTTGATATAACGAACACATTTGATTACCTCTTTCTCTCTATAACCTTCTGTAACCTGAGCAAGACCCCAAAATCTATCAGGTCTGACATCGTAAGAGCAGTGGAGACTAAACTGCAGTGCGCGTGACACATCTTTCTAGCAGCGATAGGCTATAATTCACACAAACACAAGAATCGACGACCTCTCCACAAATCGTATATCTCAAGCCAACCACACGCTATAAAACTAGTCCATATTAGATATCTGTCTTCATATAACCTCACTCTGTTCTACCTTCTAAGGCCCCCAGATAAAAATCTCCAAGTCAGCCACACAACGCTCTTAGCAGAAAATTGTAAGGGGGTGTTTGGCGGGCCAAGAGGCTCCAAGATAACCCAGATCTAGTCAGCAATGTCCGCACAGGAAACATTGGGTTACCCCCTCGCTTCCCCCATTCCTCAAGGTACAGTACTAAGAGCCAAAAAAAAAAAGACCCGGGGAACTTCGGTAATACAAAAAGCCCATGAGCGGGCTAAATTTTCGAGGCCCGACTTTCCCATCCTGCGGATCGCAGCAAGGGATCGCCACGTATTAATATCAGCACCCCGGCACTAGGTATGTGAGTGACGCTACATGAACTACTCAATAAGCTAAAGCCCCATGGAATAAGATTCCTCCTTGAAACTCTTGTTCAAGTAAAAGTCGATAAGACAATATATCCCAATTGCCTCTCTAATGTTTCCTCGACCGCCCATAATGATCCATGATCTTCGAGGCAGCCCCGCCTATAGTGATCATCTCGAAACATCCCCAGGAGTATCCAGTGCACCCCTAAGCCATCAGGAAAAACAGAGCTGACATTCCTCTATACCGGCCAAGCCACCATCTCCGGCAATACATAGTAAAACAAGTCAGATTGTAATGTATCTTCCCCATACAAGGCGGCTCTCCGGGTAGGCACTTCAGACCGGAATCCGCAAATCCAGATGACTTACTACCATACATAAACCTACGTTACAATAATGAAGGGAGAAATTATCCCATAACTCCCCTCAAGGGCTCTGTGTGCGAGCGGCCTCTTCCTTCCCGTTATCTGTAAGGTATTATTATAGGTAGTTGAGAAAGAATAACCCGAAAAACCATAGTCTCAGTTGACTTTGCTGTCCATTGTTCCAAGTTCCTCTTGTTGTGCCATTGCTGCTCGCCGGATATCACCCCATTAGGATTAGTCACCTGGCATCAAGTCCTTCACAGCTAGTTCTTCTTCCTGTAACTTACTTCTCCTATTGTGCCTACAGTCTAACTCAATGTGCATACCCAATACAGTACCCATGCCCCTCTCATATCACAACACTAATGTCGCAGTTGTTGGCCGCACTTGGTGCGGGATGTGCTCATACATGGAAGTTTCAGTGGTACATGTCTGCACCGCTGAAGGACGTGTAAGCTATGAAAACTTTTGTGATTCCTGTCTTTTATTCCCTTCTGATCTCTCTTATGAGACAACCACTTCCTGTACTTCAACTTTCTCTTCAAGTTCTTCCTCTGTCATCTTAGAACAATCAATCACGGTCTCTACTTCCACCTAAGCCAAACCTCATATCTCCACTAGAGCGATTCTACTCCACTTCGTAAACCCTCACCATGGATGATTACCTCCATAAAAGTCATTTATCAACAACTCGGCTAAACAGTATTCGGGTGATAACCGATGACTACAATTCCCGATGCAAGCAGTTATCCACCGATAAAGTTGCTCTGCGATCCACCGCCGGGCTACATCCACAGAATTGTTATCCCAGAACGTGCCATGTGGGATCCACGGGTAATTGTCGCAATACCCTGAAAGCCATCATAAATCACGAATGTTCTAATACTGGCTACCGGGAAATGTACTGAGCATCATCTACCACAATATCCAACTTTGGGCTGTTTGTAGTGATACAATTCCGCCAAAGTCAGCAGAGGTATCACAAATTAAGACCACGACGACATAATTCACCAAAGCCCTAACAAGTGTAACCGAATTCCCCAGATAATTCAAGATTATTATTATTTCTCCTTCAAAGCAATAATGTTACCAGCTGTTACCTCCCGCATAGACAGCTAAACAGCCCACCAACAGACATTCTTCTCTTCCCACAAATAATCTGTATCAGCCAACTTTCAAGAACTTTGAGTTAAGCTAATTATATGCCCACAACACATCCTAAATAATAGCAACTGGCGTAGGTACCCCACTCGAGGAAGGAAATCCCTCGAAACAAGTTCTAGAAAGTCAGGTAGAGCTATGGTAGAGGTTTCCTAGCCCCGGTTTCAACAATTTCTACCAACCCAGGCTAGCCCTCTCCTCTACTTGCATATATCTGACATTTGCCATTGAGTGCCATTGTGATTATATGATCAATTACACAATTCTTATACCGATCAGGGAAGATGAATAAAGCATAATATTTCATGATAGGGAGACGTAGCCTAAACAAAGTTGAGCAGTTCCCTTGGATAAGGTCCTTTGCACAGTTAAGTCAGCCTATATCCCGTGTTGTATTTTTTTCAAGCTTTTTCACTTTCTTACCCAATTAAATTTCACTTTAAACGTTAGTTCC